CCAACCAAATGTTTTCCAGCGTGCTTAGCTTTGAGCTAATAATAGTAGTATATTACTTATACAACTGCACAAGAAAAGGAATGCAGCCAAGAGAACACCAGTAAGAGGGGATGAAGGTTAGATCAAAAAATAATTTCTGAAAAGCTGAAAGTAAGAGATTGGTTACTCCAGAGCAGATTATATTATGCATGTTATTGTAGGGTCTTTACCTTATAATATAAAACACCTTCAGGCATTTCCTGTTGGGATTTAGCACTATATAAATAACACTGCCTGTTGCTTCATGTTGAAAAAGCAGCAAAAATCAGCACAAAGAACATAGCACCTCGACCATTATCTTCTAAGAAGGTATGCACTGAAAACACCGTTAAACTGTCTGAACTGCACCTAACTATGCCAAAAGTCATTCAGAGGTTTTGCATGCACACAAATGTTGGAGGCCTTCCATGTAATCTGGGTTATAGTCTGTTTATCACTGATTAGAATTGGGCAATTAATCGCCTGCTAGTAGGTACAGCAGGTCTCCCGCTGGTGATCTCAATGGGAGTGATTACCACCTACAAAGTCCCATCAATGAGAGGATCTGATTTGAAGAGTGTTCAGCACTTTCCCTTTACTGCTCGTTCCCTTCTGCTGCGCTCTTCTGACCTCTCTCCACATTTTTTCATTAAACTCAGCTGCTGCACAACTTACTGTGGGAACATCTGAAATTACAGCTACATGAAATATGAGTCATTGCACTTTCACCACCATAATGTGAATATATTCAGTAGGGCATGCCAGGTTTCACAACATCATTGCACTTCGTTGCTACCTCCACCTGAGAATTTCATGTCGTTTCTGAGTTTTATCGATCTATCTCTCGAACTACCCTCGGTATTACCCTAACACTGTTACACAAGCTTCTTTGAATTTCTTCCAGGTAAATCTACGAGCAGCTCAAGACGAGTGGTGAAGATACAATCCTGCACTTTTACTATGTTGTACATAGTAATTACTGAATGAAAGCAAGGCATTAAAGTCAAATAGACGTCTATAGGAGAGTCTCCTAAGTGCGCCGTCCTTCCACTCACTTGTGCATTCTCTCTATGAGGCGTGAACTGAACCAACAGGTTTTTCTCAGAGTGGAAAATTAGCTTCTCCATGCAAGCTGTATTGGTCTGCTGTGGTGAAGCAGCCTTATGGGTGAATTACGCTTCAGCAGGAAATCTACGTCATGACTTACGATGTAACTGGAAACCCCTTTTAACTCTATGCCATAACCTTCCAAGTAACCTGAGGTGCACCTCCCGAGAAGCAGAGCTATGTTTCAAGTCAACGACTGAAAGGCGATGAAGGTTACGGCATAGAAGCATAAATCAGGCATTATACAGAGGATGAGCAGTTTTGTCAGTACTTTTCTTGCTTAGAGGTCACTATGCTTCCCTTTTCCCAAACATCAGAGGAGCTCCATCATGACGCTGGCTTTGGATCCTTCACGTTTCCAGTCTGTTTTGTTCAGCTCTGCCAAAATGGCATCTGTTTATGTCTGTGTGTCACTTTTACCAGCTGTTGCTGTGGTTAGTAGGCGCTCTGTGAATTCATCCCAAATGTCACTCGTGCCACTTCGGGTCTCATGCCTCGAGCGTGTTGGTTTCCTGTTCCCGCATATATTTGAATGTATTTGCTTTAAAATAAGACTCCCAGGGCTATAAGCACATGTACATATGGTATAATGGAGTCAAAGGAAATAGACCTGTAAGAAAAATAATTTTCTGTGGGATTTAGGTGTTTCGGGATTATATTACAGACTTAATTATGACTTTTTTCCCCATTCTTGTCCCTCCCTTCTGTAACACTTTGAGCTGTGAAGGATAGGCTTTTATATAAGCTTGGCTCGCTGTGAGATAACTGCCTTTTGGATCCTCTTTAAATGTTTAATTATTGCAGAGTGTCAGGATTTCTGTTTGGAGTGTTGAATGTGCCATTAATTTGTCTGCCAAGTACGATATTTAGCTTATCCTCTCCACTCTTCTTTACTGACAGAAAACACACTAATCCAGGTGCTTCGTCAAGAGAAATCGAGCAATGCAGAACCCCCAGTTTCAAGATAATGTTTTGGCTTTATATTCCTTAAACTGCAACACCACGCACAGTCATCTCCTTTCAGGGTAGCTTTTCAATGTTAGCATTTAACAGTGGGTTTCTTTGGCTTCTAACTCTTTCAGCATCTCTTTCTGTTATTTAACCCACCTGGCAGACTGACTCCAGCCAGTCTGTCTTATTGTTGTAACTTTGCTCCATCTGTCCAGTCCATTATGTGGCCTCATGGCTTAGTGACCACGCTGATGGAAATGACCCGTGTGACATTTAAACACAATCCATATCCATCCAACGCATGCCACATGGAGCACGACATTTGATTTTTGTGTCAGAGCTGCATCAAATAGCGTCACTGTTACACATGTGGGACCTGCCTGTACACAGGCCTGGGTGCTGATTGGTAGTAATGTGATTTGAACACCTTGAAGTCATCACTTATTTCAGTGTGTTTCAGTGAGGCTTAGGTGGCAGTTTTAACCAAATGATCAACCAAAATTTCATCAAGAAAGAACAAAGTACCATATCTGAATTTCTCCTAACTTAGTTTGAGAAATTGTTGGATTTTTGTCACTTTTTCCCATCCAGCTTTGAAAAAACTCTACTAAGTGTGAGTTATTATTTATTTATTTATTAACCTTTATTTAACCAGGAAGATCCCATTGAGATTAAAAACCTCTTTTTCAAGGGAGACCTGGCCAAGATAGGCAGCAGCAGATGTCTCACAGTTACAGAAATTACTCAAACACAGGCAGCAACAACACACATGCAACAATAAGTGAAAGAATACAAATAAAATAAAAAATAAAATTCAAATAAAAAATAAAAAAGTCAGTTAAAATGACAATCAATCTAATTGAAACAGTTGCATGTTATGGACTTGGCCTCAAGGATTCGTAGTTTAGATTTAAAACACTTAATGAAATGAATTCAGTCATTTTCCATTCCTTCTGCAGTTTGTTCCAAGCCGAGGGTGCTAAATGGACAAAAGCTCTTTTACCAAGTTCAGTTCGGGCAAATGGAACAGAAAGCAACAAGTAACGATGTGGACGAAGAGAATACCGCCCAGCATGTTTCATTACAAGCAGGGAACATAGATAAGAAGGCAGCAACCCAAGTATCGCCTTATATATAAAACTGTATAAATGAGTTCCTCCGACTTACCAAAGCAGGCCATCCTACCTGAGAGTATAACTCACAGTGGTGAGTCTGAAATTTACGGTTAGTGATGAACCTCAGAGAAGCATGATACACAGAATCAACCAGTTATTGTCTTCTTAATGTGTTCAGTTTAATTCAGTTTATCTATATGGCGCCGAATCACAACCACAGTCTCCTCAATGTGCTTTATATTGTGGGTGGTTGGTTAAAAATTGCAGCTTTATCCATCCATTTAATTTGTGTTACTTATCTGGGTTCGGATCATGGGGGCAGCAGTTTAAGCAGAGACATCCGGACCTACCACCCACCTCGTCCATCTCTTCCGGGGGGAGAACCAGGGCATTCCCGAGCCTGTCGAGACATCAAACCTCTCCAGTGCGCCCTGGGTCTACCTTGGGGCCTCCTCCCAGTACAAAATGCTGGAAACACCTAACCTAGGAGGCACCCACTTGGTGTCCCAGTCGTGCCTGATTGTGCAGAGGACCCCTCCTGACTGACTGAGAGCCTCGACTTATCTGGCTGAGCTCAGAAACCCTAAGAAGAAAACTTCTTCCAACTCTAAAAACTCATAAATATTATTTTTTTTGCCGTCTAGAAAAGGTAGTAAGAAAAGAAATCAATAAAATAAAAGAAATCTATGATAAAAAGTTCTTGAACACATACTTTTTCAACTTCAACTTGTGGGCCCCGTGTGTTTCACATTAAACAATTTTTTCCTGAAAATATTCATAACAACAAACATATTTTTTAAAGATACGTGACGAATGACATGAATCAGAAAATACCACTGAACATGTATAAGCAATATAATGTCGTATAAACACTGTTTTGCTTTGGCACCATGTAAATAAAACTGAATTGTGTTGATTGCATTTTTGGTGTCAAACATAAGGCCTGAGGGCCATAACTGTCCTGGCAAAGACTCCAAACTTTTAAATATATTTTAAGAGGATTTTCAGATAGCAGAAGGTTTAGTTTTACCTCTGATTATCAAAATTTCTGTTTTTTGTTTTTGTTTTTTTTTACAGTGGGTCAACAAAAAACAAATAACAGAACAGAGATTTTCAGTTTTATAATTACAGGACCATTTGGCAAATGAGCAATCAGCAGTTTCTTCATTTACTACAGCAGTATTTCTTTAATATGTAGAAAAACTAAAATGTACTGTTGAACCTGCACTTTCTTATACTAAGATATCTCAGGGATTAAATGTGTAGACAAACTTCTTTTACTGACAGAAAGGGGAGTTCCCCAGGTCCGGCTCACCAGTCATTGATCAATGTGAGTCGTATGAGGCTAACGACATAAGATGAGTTTGTTTAATATCCTCACGTACTGAACAGCAACATTAGTAACACAGGCAAACAGAGAGCCCTAAATAGGATTTATCTTATTTCACACAGTTAAAATTGATGCTCTGTACCATGTTTGCAATTTATTCCACATAACATACTACACAACAGATATTTAACTAAGTGCCTTTTCCTGCTTTTCTAATGTTTCTAGCTCCTAAAAATAATAGAAGTCTTTATTCAGTGCCACTGTGCTTCAGCTGGATAAAAGAACCGACGATTAATGGTACATTCAGTTGTGGTGTTGCTGCTGGAGTGTGGGTGTGTGTAGGAGTTAGTGTGGTTTTGTGTTTTCACTCACTTTTACCTCTGTTTTGAACTGAAATGTTTTACAAATGAGCATCAAAAAGTCAATAGCTCGTTTTTCTCTTCCTTTTTTTTGCCCTTTTCCTCCCTCTTTCACTGCAGGCAGATGGATGATGCTGCTGATCCCTCGCTCCGGAGGCGTGGAGTGACAGATGACAGAGGTTTTGGTACAGCAGGAGGGAGAGCCAAAGAGAGAGGCGACGACGGAGAGACTCGCCACTGCTGATAACCGAGAGAACAGAAAAGGTCAAGCACATCGATTGGGAGGTGAGGTAGAAGTAAGTGACCGGATTTACCGATGCTGCTCTTGCTCTCTGTCTTTACATTCTCTCTTTTCTCCGCATTGTTTCTGCAGCTTCATTTCTTTCTTCTTTTTTCTTCCTCTGTGCCCTTACCACACTGAAAAAACACACACACACACCTCCACCTGCACAGCTCAGACTGCTCAATATTTCTCAATAAACCCGCTTTAAAGTTGTAGTTGCGATGCAGCGCTTCTGTGCTTTTGTGGCAAAAACTCTCCCAGTTTTGTTGATTTGGCTTTAAATTTGTGGATGAAGAAGATGTGTTCCTACAGCACAACAGTGACCTAACACACAGTCAACTCATTTAACTTCCTCTGTTTTAAATTCTCACTATGTTCGTGCTCGTTCCGGGAAGCAAAAAAAAAAACGTCTGCCCTTGAAGTGCACATAAAATGTTTAATGAACGGCAATTTGTTTTGAGCAGGAATGTAGGCAAAATACAAAAAGCCATTAAAAACCACAGAATCTGATCTAATGGTTGTGCAGGTCTCAAACTGTGATGGTTTATGATCCACTCTAAGAACAGTAACGTCTGCCAGATAAAGCTCAACTGTGCTAAAGCATTGGGAGGTTTTCTCAGTAGCAACTAAGGCATAGTTGTTTGCACTGTAATTTCACGCACGGTGGCTCAGTGATTAGTACCGTTTAAAGCAAGATGTTCCTGGGTTCGAGCTTCAGTAAATCCCTGTGTAGAGTCTGCATTCACAGAACCACCTGTGGAAAGCTGTGGACCCATTCACAGGTTTCCTCTGATTCTAAAAACAACATGGCAGATGAGTGCTGCTTCCTGTTGTCCTGGGACACTCGTGCAAAAGCAATTCTTTAACTGTTCATTCACTTTTATATATGCAGTGTCAGGACACACCATCAGACTCTACAACTTCAAATAAAGTTTTTTGGTGTTTGATTTTTCAGGTTCTGTTTAAGTATCTTTAGGTTGTTAAGTTTCCTTTTCATGTATTATTCGAGAACTCCTGTTACATCTCTTGTAGTTTAGTATTTTCAGTGTTTAATTGTTTAGTTATTCATGTTTCTAGCTCTTAGTTAGTCCCCTTCCGTGTTCATCTTAGTCTTGTCTCTGTATGTTCTTCCTAGCGTCCCCTGTATGTGGTCCATCGTGCATTCGTGTTTGTTTAGCTCAGTCTCAGTGGTCATGCTTCCTGTTTTATTTTGGTGATCTCTCACCTCGTGTGCATTGTGGTTTGTTTTGCTTCATTGGTTTAATGCAGTTCTGCTGCGTCTCCACTTGTGTCTCAGTCACCTTTCCCTCGTGTTCTCAGGTGTTCATTTTCTCCCATTTTTTTTTTCCAGTTTTGGTTTCAGTTTTGCAACTGGCTTTTCCGTTTCCTCTTGTATTCTTTCCTTGTCTTTATTTTGTACTTTATCATCAACCTTTTGCTTTTGGCTCCAGTTTCCAACACATGATCTGCATTCCCTGCAGATCACGACACATTGAACCACAACAATCAACAATCAGCTTCCTATGAGTCACACTTGGCAATGGTGGGAAGGAAGAACTCCCTTTTATTGATAGGAAGGCTCAGGGAGGGGCAACAACGTAATTCCACTACATAGACTAAGGGTGAAACACAAGCTGGGACAGTAAGGATAAAATCGAATGCTCTACAGCAGTCCCAAAAAGTTGATGCTGTTAATCTGGATGTAATGTTTTAGTGGGAGAAATGTTTCGTCACTTACCCAAGCGAATTCTTCAGTCTGAAGAACTGAGGTGACTCGTCTCTGCTTTAGCTTGACACATCAAGTCATACAGTAGTGGCTTCAGAGATTTTGAGAAAGCGATCCATGCCTTCATCTCATCTCGTCTCGACTTCTATAATAGCCTCTATTCTGGTATTACCGCTACATTAATTGGCCGACTGCAGCTAGTCCAAAATGCTGAAGGCTTTGCCTCCCATTCAGTTTTTAGAAACTCAAGCAAACTCAAGCAAACCCCAACAGAACACACAAGGCTGAGTGTTTTGTTGGGGTTATGTGACATTTTGAAGTTATGATGGGGCCTGATCGTGCAGGACATTGAATGTGAGGAATACGATTTTTCATTTCAGTTCTGGATTTAACAAGGTGGCAGTTTTCAGTGTTCTTCCTGTAACGTTTTGGAAAATCCAAAAGCTTTTCAGGAAATTTTTAAAACAGTAATAAGTACTTACAGGTTATAATAATTTCTGTGCTTATTAAAACAGGCAGTCTCAGTTAAATGTATAACGTGCAGGTTAATGGAAAAGCTCTGCTTAAAAATGACTCCAAGGTTCCTCACAAACATCCAGACAGCAGATGTTGGGGGGGTTCACTTAATCTGCCATCTGGTATTTTTTATCTATTTTTGAACTTCTAATTTTAGCAAAGTAAATCCGTAATTTAAAAAGAAAAAGAACATGTAAAAACATCTAATTAAAATCTTCTGCAAAGTGCATTCAAACATCCCTCCAATCCTAGACTCCATTTTTCTGGATTACAGTTTTATGCTGCCGAGGCTACAGCTCACACAACGCTAAACTGAGATCATTTTTTAAAATTGACACAGGTTTATCCTGGAGTTTTTCCATAAAAACTCTGCAAAAAGTTATTTTATTTCAGTGCTGTCTCTCATTTATTACATTTATTAGTCTGGAGAAATGAGGCTTGTTCCTGAGGTTTTCTTCCCACATTCAAAACACAAGATAGCATCCATTACAGTAAAAGATATATATAAATCTTATAAAGTTTGCATCTGTCTTGTGTGAAACTTGTATGTAAAGCATACAAGAGTGAAGACAGATATAAGATTTGATGCAAGTCTTTTATAAGTTTTTTTCTATTTCTTTTCCATATGGGAAGGCTGTGTGTGTCAGCATATTTTGAGACCATTTTGAGTCTTCCAGTTATTAAAAAGAAGGTCAGGGTACTTCTCATTTCTGGCAACTTAACCCTCCAAGGATTAAGGTAGCCAGGAAGTAGGAGGAACAATAGCTTTGGTTACAATTACTTCACAACAGCACCAAAATAATCCGATGTACTATAAAGGCAGCAGGAACTATTCTCTACTCTTATTTTTATCCTGCAAAGCAAATAAAAGTAGACCTGTGAGCGGAGAAAAGAGGGAAGACGAACCACCTGCTGCTGCCTCAGTGCAAAATGTTGCCACAGAAGTTGGCATTCACCAGCATATAGCTGGTAAATACATAGCTGACACTGTTTATTGTTAGGGAAACATAAACGCTTAAATGTTAAGCCTAAAACCAAACAAAAAAGGCAGTTAGTGTTTGCTTTGTAGGGCACATTAATAAGAAGAAAATCCCCCCATCCCATTTTGCTTTCCCCCCTCTGCTGTTTTATCTCGCAGAGCAGAAATGGCTTAAACAAACAGAAGTGCAGCGGCAGTTTTATTTTCCCCACGGTGGAAAGCGCCAGCGACCGCGGCGGCGTCTGTGCCACGACTCTGCGAGTCCCCAGCCGTGTCTGCGTAACTCTCTCCAGGATGAGGGCCGGAATGCGTTCTGCAGTCACAACACCAAATATAAGCCTAATCTACATGTGATGTGATTGGTTAGCTGAGGCCCGCATCTCATCTTTGGTTTGAAACTAATGAACTGTGTGCTTTCACTCGAGTTTCCAGATAAAAAGATAATCACTGGTAGAATAACAAGTTACTGTCGTGTGGAGTCGAGAAATTGGCTTCATTCGGCGTGACTCATGGTTTCGTGCGCGTCTCTCCTCCCTCGCTTTCTCATCTCTTTTATCTCTTTCCTCTCCTTTCAATCACTTTTCCTTTATCTCCCCAATCACTGCTTTGTCCAACTTCCCTCCTCCTCTCCTCTTCCTCCTCCCCTCTCTTCGTCGTCTTCTCCCTCTCTCTGTGACATATTGCTGCTTTGTCAGGCCAGTTAAATGGCTTGCCTGCAGTGCTGTTTAGTTTCCTGTGAACTATGCTGATAGAGGAGGCGATAGGAAGCAGCTTGTCCGTTACACACAAAGCAACGCGCTGGTGACAAACGCACTCACACACAATCCGTAATCACACGTATAGTTCTTCCCTCGACTCGACTTAAAGTTGCGTTGGTTTTTCTGTGTTGCCTTTTTCATTTTCCAAGGGTAGAATTTTAAAGCGCACGTTATTACGATGCTGTTTACCTTTTTTTGTTTATTTGGTTTAGTCAAGAAAAGACAAGCTCAGCAGTTTCATTGGATTTATGTTGTCCTGAGAAATAATCAATAAATTGTAGTAGCCTCCTCTATAATGTGGTCTTCCTTGTCTTGCTCTTCAAATCTATAAAATATGGCCCCATAGTCCAGGCTAAAGCCCTACCAGGAGCTGAATGGTGGTGAGATTACATGATGATTTGGTCTGATGGGAGAGGCAGTCATTAATATTGGTATCATATATAAAATCTATCCTCCCCAGAAAACAGATAACATCCTTCATTGTTATGCTTCAAACAACCGTTTTTCATTTTCTAAACTCAAAATACTAAACCTAACTTTGGTTGTTGCATTAGCTTAGCTGTGATCACAAAACCATGGAAGTTATTCAGGAGTTGAGCAAAGTCATTATGTTGCCTAGCACCCACCTACCAATGGGCTAAATGGCACCTAATTTATGCTCCGTATAAAAGCCTTGCATCGTTTTAATATCACAACAGCACACAACAACCTTTAATTCATATCCACAAAAGCTGAATTATGTCATATTATGATGTTGTTACATTTCATCAACCGCCTGAAAAACGAAATGCAATGTTTATACACTTAATTACACCTTGCCATTTGATAGCTAGCATTTCGACATATTTAGTTAATATGTTAGCTACATAAGTGTAGCATGTAGTACATCTCTAAACAAAACAAAATACTGAAGTAACAGTTTGGAGCATCTCGAAGAAAGCAACTGGACTTCTTTCAATTTCTTGAAGATGTTTCACTTCCCATCCAAGAGGCTTCTTCAGTTTTAAGAGGTCCAGTCGACCGTGACCCGGATGACTGAGAGCCAACACAAACATCTGATGTAGCAAAAATGCAATGATTCCACTTTGTGGTTTTGTGAGACATTATTTGTCAGAGTTTTGTTACACTGGAAACTCATTCAGTTTACCAAAAATGAATAAATGAGATAAACTCAGTTACATGACAGGGATACATGACAGATGATGTGCACTGTGGTAGAGCATGTTTGACCCTCAAAAGTCTAGATTGCCTGAGCTGTGTGATTACCGCATGTCAGCATACTGAGCCCTAGCCATGTTGGAAGAGTGGATATGGTATCTGGTGTGAAAGCTACCTGTGCCCAAGCTCTGAAAATATCTGTGTTAAATAATTTAAATTGCTCAAAGGCATGTGAAAGTAGAGTATGTTCCAAAATGACCCCAAATACACCACAAAGAAAATGGACTCACGAACTGTGTGCTTTTCTTTCTTTTTTCTTCTTTTTTCAGTCCCATTATAAAAAAGTGTGTGTGTAAGAGAGAGAGGAAAGAGTGCTCCTTTCTAATGTGTTATAACCCCAGGATATCAAATACTGCCATTATGAGTGTTACAAGGTGTTCTTGGGCATTGATGCCTCACTGTCCCACCAGTATTAAAATTTGTGATAAAGTTTCTCTTTGGAAACGCAACAAACCCAACGCTTTGGGGCAGGTTTTCTCAGACTTTAGTCACATAGACCTAGAGACCAGTCAGCAACGCTTTTAGAGACTTAAAGATATGGAGATCTTTGCAGCTGTCCTTATTGCACTTGCATGCAGAAAGTTTCCTTATATCAATCAATCAAAGCTTTATTCGTCACATGCAGGTTGCCCTGCAGTGAAATGGGAC